TTCTCCACGAGTGTCCCGCGACCTTCGCCTGTTTCTTTCGCTCCGTGGATTCCAGGACAGAGATGATCTATGGTATAATATTTGATTGTAATTTCCTCGGTTTTTAAAAAAAAGATGTTAAGTGGCTGTATGCTGTTTAATGGTTTTTCTGATAAAGGCAATAGCATTAGTTAACGAGATAATTTACGCGGCTCGTTACATATTAGATAAAAGTTATATGCATTTTCCCGAATCCCCTATTTTATTCTAGTATGGGCGAAGTTTATGTGCATACTGGGTATTAACAAAAATCTTTGATGTCATTTTCATGTGGTTGATTTTTTAAAAAATGGTTTGCTTCACAACTAACCTACGCAGAATAGCCTAATATTATTGCGCTCACTGCCGCGGTGTCTCAATTTACACAGTCGAGGTCTGCAAGATCTTGCTGACGGACGGACTCATCTTTTGATTATCTTGTACCCCTGAATATTATCTTTACTGGAAATTACCATGTCTACGAGTAAGCACGGCCTGGTTATAATAGTAATATAAAATATAAAGGCTACGTGCGGGGTACCCCAACACGGGACCTTGGGTAGTCGACCCACTCGCCATCCACTTAGCGCCGGCCCCTGGGGGAGTTGCCGTTCTTACTTTCTTTCCGACTATAAGCCACATATAATGTGTCGCACGTCTGATACTTTCAGACCCGCATCCACAGAGACGCTCAGCTGAAGGCTAACGTGACCGAATTCAACGCCAAAGTGCTCAAGAAGTGTGTCCGTGAATGTGAGGAAGAGATGAAGAGACTCAAACCAAAGGAAATTGCTTTACAGGCAAGCATGAGGAAACGATATCATGATTATAGAATTAATTTGTAACTATATGAAAGAGCAATGTCTTCGCCTCAGAATGCACGGGCGATACTATTCCAGAATCATGCTGCGATGAAAGATAATCCAAATTCTTAATTAAACTTGCATAAATTGTTTACCAATATCATTCTTATGTCAAATACAAATTAATTGAAAGTATGAAATAATAAGTATATCATAGTTATTATTAAAACTTGAAGGGTTTCTATTAAATATTTTATCCTCTTATTCCGACTACAAAATTTATGTAAGCAAGACATGCCATTCAGATGCTAATTATTGGCTTATCATAATGTGTCGTCCCCAGAGTGCGTCACGCTCGTGAAAGAGGGAAGTGGGTGTCTAGAAAAGTGACAGTTTGTGACAAGGAGGGGGGGGTAGATCATTTTTCACGTCACACACACACACACATATATATATATATATATATATATATATATATATATTATATTTATCATGCATATTAAATCTGAAATTGACAGTGATGTTTAACTTTCTGATGTGCTGGATGTATTCAGAAAACAGAAGTCACTTGATANGAAAAAAAGAGGGGGGGGGGGGGGGGGGGGGGGCTGTTGTTCTGAGTTTTTTTTGACAGATTGTGACAGGAGAAGAAGGGATAAAACAATTGTCAAAAAAAATAGTATGACGTGGTTTACGGATGGCCCCTAAACTAATTGTTTCAAGGGATGTTATAATGCGCATAAATACCAGCGTCTGACTGATCATTTGACTTTGAAATTATTTGATGGCCTTACCTTATGAGTGTTTCTGTCCCATTCATTGGACCACTCAGGAAGAAGAGAAAAACTTGCGAGCTGCGAGCAAAGACGTGCTGGAGGATCTGACCATCAAGGAGTACAGAAAAATGGAGATGAAGCTCACCGGAAGTATTGGTGATAGAGAAAGTCAGGTAGTGTGGTCCTTAAAATAAAAACCTAAACGATATCATGTTTTTTTTTTTTAAAAACGTTTCATTCATTTTTCGATGGCGAAGAAGGCTTGTAATTTCAGCCGAAATGTCCTTTGTTTCGTTATCTTTTTCTTTCAAGTTTTAAGTTTCCTTTCGATACTTATCTTTAATTATATCTGATTGCAGTCCCTAACTATATTCTTCTTTAAATTTAACGCCTTTAAATAAAGTTGCACCAAGGGTTATTTCCACCCACCCAGAAAGCTATTTAATGCTCCACTCTAACGTCACACAATCACAACTTAAATATTTACCACAGCTAGTTCATGAACTTAAATTTTTAAATGTACTAAATCTCTGCAAATTTGCATGAATCTATATTATATTTTCTTACACAGCTTGCAGTGTGTGCACTGGACTTTTTCTTCATGTTGTTTAAATAATGCACGGTAGCGAAGTTTGTTAAAGTTCTATGACTCTGCAAGGGTTGTTTCATATTATTGACCAAAACACTTTGACCAAATGGTCACACATTGAATACTTCCCTGACAATTGTTGAAAAATTATAATAAGTATTTCGCCAATAGCTTTTATTTTTTATTTGTACTTTTTAAAATTTATTTAAACATTTTTTTGAACGAACTGCTCTTTTTCTTTCATACCGAAGGAGCGTTTAGAGCTTCTGCAAAGTGAGATACTTGAACTGAGATCTCGGAAACCCGCCATCGAGAGACGAATTGCGGACCTGGAGAAGCAGCAGGCGTGGATCAGCAGTCGGGAGGCCCACAGAGAGCAGAAGGAGAAGGAGCTCGAGCGAGCCAGTCAAGAGCTGAGAAACTGCCGCAGACATGCCAGGAAGGCCGAGGTGGAGCTGCAGCGTGTTGAGGCCTGTCTGGCCAAGTTGAAGGAGATTCACTTGATCAAGACGAGCAGTGAGACCTTAAAGAAAATTTTCCACAACATGCCGGTGTATTCTAGACTTACAAACACATCGAAAAATAAAAAAGGTAGATGATTCTTGTTTATCACGGGTGAACCCAGAAGAAGAAAAAAAAAATTAAGGGGGAGTCAAAATTTAAGATCCGGAATAAAGATATTGTTAAACAAATAACTAAATCTGGTGTTTTTAGAGAATTTTTTTTTTTATTGTACATACTTTGTAAAAAAATGACATAGGAGCAATAATGGATTGATTAAATTCGAGGGCCCAAAACATGTTTTCTTTATATAGTATGCCTAATCGGTGTGCAGGTGCGTGGTGAATATCAATATTAACTCAGAAAATTAGTGACAGGGAAAATATAATTACACACAAGGAGAAAGCCATTAACGTTAAGGCAAGTGGTAAATGCGTTAAAAATAGTCATTTCAGTTTTCGGTTCCCGTTAACATTATATAGCAAAAAAAAAACAAACAAACAAACAAAAAAAAAAAAAAAAAAAAAAAAAAAAAAAAAAAAAAAAAAAAAAAAAAAAAAAAAAAAAAAAAAAAAAAAAAAAAAAAATAAAAAAAACCCTCCATTCAGTGCTCTGAGTTTTAAAAATAAATCCCACTGTTTTCACTCGGCCCGCCTTCTGAGGAGTTTGGAGGAGCTGCAGTGGCGTAGGAAATGGGCGGATGGGAGGTTCACATCAGCTGGCACTTTTATCTTTGTATTAAAAGGGGGGGGCCCCTTTTTCGGCCTATTGCAAATGCTATTTTCCTCTTTGAAAGGGCGACAAATATCTTGGCCCACCCCAAGCGCAACTAACCCTAGCTTCGCCACTGGGGAGAAAGAACTTTTATGTATATGGTAGGAGCCAGAATCCGGCTTGTAATATAGTTCCATTACTGCGTCAAAGTTTGACGTATACATTTTTTATTTTGGTCTTTTTTTTTTTAGATCGCCTCCAAACCTTATGTGGCCTCGTCGCTTCAGAACTAGACGGGGACTGGACTCGCCTCTACCGCTGCCTCCCATTTTATCCCCGTCGTGGGGACGAGACGGTTTCTGCTGACATCGATGACATCACCGGCCGCTTTTTGAGGAACACCAAAGAGCAGGCGCAGCAGGCCCTCTCAAGATGGAGGCGAATGCACACGAGAGCCTGCGTCGGGGATCTGAAGGAGGCTCTGGTCGCCATCAAGCGCAAGGACATCCTCGAAAAGTTTGAGCAGCACGGCAAGAAAGCCGCGCTTCGAAGAGAGCGGACGATGTCGCCAAAGGTTCACAGGGTTGTTCACTTTCCGAAACTGTCGACGGTGGGGATGAAGCGGAAACAAAACACTTATCTACAGTTCTAGTGGCAGGACATCTTTACATAAATCACAGGACCGAGTTATACATAATTTGCATGCATTTACCGAATCCAAATTAAGATTGCTTTGTGCTAAACAAGCGACTGATTCGGAAAGAATGGAATTGTTGAAAGGAAGGGGATATGCCTACAATTACAAATGCCTACAAATACAAATGCTGACAATTACAAATGCCTACAATTACAAATGCCTACAATTAAAATGAAACTTAGGTGTGTTTTTTAGACAAGCAGTCAGAGTTTTTGTTGATAAAATTCTTGCATTCTTGTCTTAGTTGATTGAAACTTACACTCACAATACAAATTATGCTTTTGATGCCGTCATATTTGACACTTGATTAAGTGAAAGGAAAACGCCTACGGGCTCTCACATTTTGAAACAAATGTACATTTAGAACAAAGCAAGAACAAACACAACGCAAACATATAAATAGATCTGTGCTTTTTTTTATTGCCCTTGTTCTTAAAAAGTGTAACTAAATATAAATTGAACTTTTGATTTATGGTATGATTGATGTTTGCATTTATTTGAAAAAAAAATATTTTATAGATGTACAAGTAAGTAAATATTGATTCGTTGCAATTGTAATATTTCTGCATGCACCTCCAAAAGAATGTAACTAATAGTCATTGATAATTTAACCTCGTATGTAATTTAAACAAATATTTGTTTTTATAATATATAGATAAAATATATGAAATATAGAATGTAAGGTAAAACAATTAAATATTTGATTCAAATATTAATGTTCGGATTTTGTGTGTAATGTTAAAAATGTTGTTTCACTGACATGTCATCGTAAAAATAGATGTACACAATTGTGTGACTTTTGCACCAAATACGAATCGTAATTGTATACTGCCGATCTTCTTAATGAGATGATCAAAACCTATCACGCTTCTGATACAATATTCTCCACAGTTCAATCCCCCCCCCCCACCTTAACACCCAATGGACCTGGAATCACACTTTTAAATTAGTCTGTAACTCTCTCAAACTGTTAACCCTCCTCCCCCTAACCCGTCACCCTAATAATATCGCCCAGAACGTTGGTCAATTAAACCACTAATTCCATATTGTTGGTTTATAGAATTAGATCGGAACTTCTCGGTCCCCACGCGGACAAACACATCTGGTGGACAGCGCGGATAAGATTTTGCGTCGTTGGCGTGAGTTGTAAGCGGGGGTCACTTCCGATGGAAATGGTCCATGACGAACGCTTGAAGATAGAGCTCGCTGTGGAGCATGGTTTTGGAAGAGTTGTCCCCGGGGGAGTTGAGGGAAGGGTCAGGGTTGACCATTTTACCATCGCGTCTGTTCCTGAAAACCATTCCGCTGAGAAAACTTGCAATAACCTGTGGGCGTAGTGATTCAACTCTTATTAGGCTTCCAGTTGTTTGGCAATGCAAAAAAGCAGTTCTAATCTTTAAAATTAAGAAAATAATGATAATAAATCAAAATATACAATAATTGTTTTTTAATTTACATATATATATATATATAAGAATGGTTGTTCAAAGTGGTAATCTTTGATAATTTAAAGTTTAAAAAAAAAAACATGTTTAAACCACTTGGCTTCATGATGGTTTTTTGTTTTCAAATTGGCAAACCATTAAAAAAAAGTGTCACAGTCCATTTAAGCTTTAAAATCTGTTGTTATAGGAACGGCCTATGGAAGGTCGATAAAAATAATGATAGTGGGGTCAGCAAAAGATCCACTTGTTTAACAGAGTAAAATATCTTAAAATGACCATGTGCGTAAATAACAACTTTATTATCTCTCTTTTGTATCATGGGCGTCATTTCAAGTTTTTTTTCAGGGTGTGGGGAGCAAAAATCAAAACTTGGTCGGCTTCTAAGTTGTTTATTACGGGAGGCGCCACAGTACATAGCAATTTAAATAAAACCTGTAAAGTCCGGGTAGGGGGGGGGCAGGCAAATGCCCCACACTGCCCTTACGCAAAATGACGTCCCTGGTTTGTATGTGACAATCTGGTTATCCGTATCATTACAGTGAGGAAGCAGCTCTTCCGGACCCCCCAACCCCCATTTTTAAAAAAAAAGTTTTTATTTTTTTTTTTAAATTTTAAATCACCAACTATTAGTTTTCAAATTACCTCATAGTTCGGAGAGTTCATTCCTTGAACAATTTTTGAGTCCCAGTTAAAGAAACTTAGATCCGTTGGTTTGGGCATGAGGCGTTTCTCCAGATTAAAAATTGGCCTGAAATCCTCCGTGGCAAGTCTGTGGGCATAATCTATGTAACCAGAAACTTCCTGGCCTTAAGAGAAAAGATAAGATTTGCTGTTAAAAAAAACAACCAAAAAAAACAACAAAAAAAACCCTGTATTTATCACCAATAGCCCTTAATCTCAATCCAGACCCCCAGGGACATCTTCGCGAAACACCTACAATGACCCATGTTAACGCTGCTACTGATCTGTGACACAAGGTCACCTCACGCCCTTCAGCAATTGTATCCTCTCCTGGTACTTATCCTATCAAATACTTGCCTTTTCCGTTGAGTGTTCGTATGAAAAGGATGGATGCATTCTTCCCACTTCTGTTCCCTTCTTCTCTCATCTGCAGTACCCGGACGAAATTATCTTCGTAAGTCCTGCCAGCGCCAAGTACCGTTTTCTGAGATTCACAATGTACAACGGCATATTAATACGGCTGATATCTTATTACAGTAGCATGGCATAATCATAACATTCTGTTGTCATTGTAACTAGGGATGGACTTTATTTGCCAGCCTTCAGTCACGCGAGAGCAACGGGAAATCCCGTCACTTCCTAATAGACCAGCGGTTCTCAAACTGTGGGTCGCAACCCCTTTGGGGGTCGCACGACCCTTTACCAGGGGTCGCCTAAGACCATCTGAAAACACACACTCTATGGTTATAAAGTATCAACGTAAGTAATTTTGTGGTTGGGGGGTCGCCACAGCATGAGGAAATGTATTAAAGGGTCGTGGCGTTAGAAAGGTTGAGAACCACTGCTCTAGACGGACGATGGCGTGGCAAAAACAGCTGCTGGTCTGTATTGGTGGTTATCTCAATAATGACGAATGTAGAACACAGGCTGCACAACTAACGAACCCAAGCAAACACATGAACGATTGAACAATACATGTAAATATTAGGAGATATTTAAATATTTTTTAAAGTTATGTTTTATTCCACCCGCCCTTATCCACAAAAGAAGATCCACCCTGACCCGCCCTTATCCACAAAAGAAGATCCACCCTGACCCGCCCTTATCCACAAAAGAAGATCCACCCTGACCCGCCCTTATCCACAAAAGAAGATCCACCATGGTGCGGCATAACAAGCCCAGAGTGTTACAGCTCAGAATCCGGAGTCCTCATTTTGTTTCAATCCGCTGAATACTCACCACACTCTGGGCAGCTTTGTTTACTTCAAAGGTAGCCTTCAGGGCATTAAAATCATCTTCTGAGAAGCCTTCAGTCGGACCTCTGAATCCGAGCTGCACGAGTTTCCTGGCTACGTTGATGTCCTCGAGCAGTTCGAGGTCGTCAGAGGTAACCTGACTGCCCAGGTAGTCATCGTACCTTCAACATGAGAAGAAAAAAAGATGAGTACAGAAGTCTTCGTGGGCACCTTAAACCAACTTCATTTTTTGACCTACAATTTAAGTACGTATAATTATACAAAAGTCAACCAAAATTTAAAAAAACAAACAAACAAACAAACAAACAAAAACACTATAAATGTTGCGCAAAAAAGCCGATTGTAAAACTTTCAAAGCCAATTTTTAAACATGTGTATTTCTTATACGCGCGGATCCGTTAACAATTATTTTTTGGTGCTCACTCATACCCCGCGGTACACAAGTATTCATTGCGGCATCTTCATGCAGGGCCGAAAGAAAGGGGCACTTTCCCCAGGCGCCGACATCAAAGGGAGAGGGTGCCCAATTCGCCTTTAGATAGGCCGTATGGTCTAAACTGAGCAAACCTAAAGTTGGTGGTCTGGAGTTCAATTCCAGCCAAAGGCCAGTCAAGCAAAAACATCACCAGCATCCCGGGTGGATGGGACTCGTTAATCTTGGTCGGCAACTCATCTAAGAGAAGCAAACTCTGAATTCAACCCGGAGATGGAGTCCCGTAAGGCGTATACAATGAAAGAATTCAACAATTCCTGCATCCGTACCCATCTCTGGTCGTCTTGACATAGTCTTGCCACTGGACATGATGGGCCCGGGCGAGAGAGTGAGGTTGACGCCGCACAACTCTTCATCGCTTTAAAAAAAACAAATAAAAAAAGTCACCCGCGCAAGTCATCCAGCACCGGACCACTCGATGGTCCTAGTCGATCTTCGACGGACGAACAACAACAACAGAAAGGACCATGAATAATAACATTCTATGTAGGCCTACTTCACAAGACAGGGGTTGCCAAAAAATCTTCTTTTTTCTTGTCCGCCCGGGCAGCACTTTTTTTTCTATATATTGGTTGGCGCCATTTTCAGGCTTCGCCCCGAGCGCTACTATTCCTCGGCACAGCCCTGTTCCCATCAATAGTAACCATTTTTGGGGTATCTAGAAATTATTTGTTACCGGTAAATATAAAGGTAATTGATTATTTTTTTAACAAATTCTTGAGGAGATTCACCATGAATAGCACCTGACTGACGAGTGATTCGAGCCATGAGTGATTCACTAACTAAAGGTCAAAGGATCATCTAAATTCGGTTGACAAGATCAAGCAATTACTTTTTTTCTTTTTACTCACGTGGCGAATTCCACAATACTTTTCCCACCGGGTGTCATAAATTGATCAAAGTCCATTGTGTTCTTAAGGAGGCGAATGGATTATGTTTTTTTTTTAAATAAAAAAATATGGGGTATCTTTGCGATTAACTTAAAAAGAAAACACGAATCCTAAAATCTAAAGGTTAGTAAATTAGTTGATGTTACTCAAGAGGCCGAATGCGGCTTTTCCGAGGTGCTGGCAATGACTTACACTCACAGTGTGGCATCTACTTGAACGGTGCTATCACGTGCTGGCGTGCTGGTAGTACGCAGTTTGATTAAAAAAATTCAAATATTGTTTTTTTTTTTTTTTTTTTTTTTTTAAAATACTGCCATAGCGTTCGCAAATTTCATCTGGCTTGTACAACAATAGTAAGTTATAATTTTTAAAAAAGCTAATTAATTATTTTAACTAAAACATAATCCTTATTTATTCTTTTGCAAAAACGAACTTTGTCGATGTGCCCTTTTAGGTAGCAACATATTTGAAGAATGGCAATACAAAAGTAGGTTATAAAACTATCATATTTTAAGTTAAAAAAAAATAAAATTAAACGCAACATTCGAAACCAATGTTCTTTTCATGTTAAGCGTCAGAAGCTCTGGAAGTGCCCAGATGCGGCCCACAATTATGCATTTTATTTCCTGCATCTATCCTCTAAGCAGGGGTAGTTTGACAATACAATAACCCCTCCATGATTAATAAACTCAATTTGACAAGGAAAATATTCCATTTTCTATAACAATCTTGACTATGTCTTAAAATTGCTCTTTTAATTTTTAAAAATAAAATAAATTTATAAGAAACAAAAAAAACATTTTACTTTCCAGGTCCAGATACTTTGAGAATGTAACTTTTTTGCTCTTAAGTCTTAAGTTCTCAAGCGTTAATATATTAACCGAAAGATAAGTAACTTTTTCAATAGATTTTTAAAACCATATGATTCTATGAAGAATCACCAGATATAATTACGGGTATATTTTCAGCAATATTCAAGAGTTGCATCCCTTATGAAGTTTTTTTCGCGACATCCGGTAAGTTATAAACAGAAGTTCAGAGAGATTGCCTACAACAAGAGGACAGTAAACAATCTAAAATGTCTTTAGGTCTTGTGGCGTATGGTGCCAGTGATGATAGTGATGAAAGCGAAACAGAAATGGAAGCTACAAGTAGCAAAACTGAGACCCAAAAAAGTGGAATTGATGTAACGGGGCATATCAGCGACGAGGATGAATTTGAAACAGTTAGCTCAACGTCGGCTTCTTCTGCAACTCAACAAACTGTATTGTTAACTTCGGCTGCCCCTTTATCAATTAAATTGAATGCATCTAACTCAGCAAATACATTTAGCTCTTCACCTTTTGTATCTGAAAGTCATGACAATACAGTCAATTCAACATCTCTTACATCTTTAGATGGTAGGTGTAACTGGGCAACTGGGTTACCTGTTAACTGTACCACAGAGTACCACTAATAATTTATTTTTTTGAATTAGTTTAGTTAGTGACTATAGCATAGTATAGCAAGTTCAACATTGCCAGGTGTCCAGTTTTAAACCGGAGATCTGTATTTCAACAGCCTTTACAGGAAAAAAATAAATACTAGACACCATACTGGTATGTAAAATACTCTTTCAAGGTGCTCCTGGAGGAAAGGGAAGGATGGTAAGATGTCCAACATTTTTGGAGGAAACTTAAAGTTTCTATTCTATAGTAAGCTACCAATTCAATAGCATCTAGAGAGCTATTGAAGACTATTAGTAGTTCAGCCAATCAAACCAAAACCAGAACTTTAAGACTGGCTTTCAATCACGCTGGCAAAGTATTGCCATTGCCCTGTTCATTTATTACTAGTTGGTACTAGTGACAACACTTCGGCTTGATAATGAATCCTGAAATAATTTTAGCTTTAAATTGCTATTTTGATACTGCAGAGATTTGGAAAATACCATCAACGCTTTAGAAGACTTTCAAAATGCTGTATTTTTAATGATAAAAGCTATAGACTATAGAATTATAATTTATAATATTAATATAGACCTAATATATAGACATATAGTCATAGATAGAAGTATGATACTGGGGGAAGGGGATCATAGTCTGAAAAATGCCCAGCTTCATTTTTGTCAAAGTAATATGTACTCATCTGAAAAATAAGATATAGTTGAGGCCGAGAAATAATTTTATTGTAAAAATTTTGCCTTGCAAATTATTATTATTATAATTATTAATATTAATAAAAATATAGGCCTAAATTTGTTTGTAATTACCATAATAATAGTTTTACTGCATACTAAGTGTGTATATTTTAAAAAAAAATCTTGTTACTTCAGCTAAATAAACGGTATAATAATAATGTAATTAGGCTTAAAGATTTAGCCATCTCTGTTTAGGAACATGGTCATGTGAAAACACCCCATAATTGATTTTCTGGTGGGAGGTTGGCCTACTGAGCATTATTTACACAAATCAGCATTGATATTTTTATGTGCAATTTAACATTTTCATTGGGTAAATTGTTCATCTATAACACAAAGTAATTTAACATCTAGGAATTGCTATTTACTAATTTATTTATTTAATTTATTTATTTATTTAATTTATTTATTTTATTAATTTATTTGTTAATGCTATGCAGATTCAATGTTTTTAACAGCACAGAATCCGATGAAAACATAAGCCACTATACATAATATATATTTAGGTGGATTATGTCTTGAAAATCCGATTTGGAGTGAATTTATGAGACTAGACACAAAAAAAATTTTGAGGTGCACTCACAACCAGACAGCTGTCTAAAATGTTAGCACATGTTTTTTGGCAACATATTTTATTGGGGGACACAAAAATCAAAATTTCACATAATAGTGATTTCAGTGATGTGATTAAAAAAATAGTGACTACCATTACGTAGACAATACTGCACAACATCAATCTATCACCAGTTAGTAGTTTTTGATAGTAAACTACCAATAGCCGCTTAGAGGCTAATGGTAAAAGAGTACCAATGGTTATCTGCCAATAGTGATAGCCTTTTTGGAATAGGTATCTTAAATATCTCTTACTGGCTTCTTGTGAGTGAGTGCATTGACCACCAAATTCTTTCCCAGGCATATAGCCGTATAGAAGGCTCTGCATCTGTATATCTTCAAAAACTAATTTCTAAACATGTATCCATATAGAAACTGAGCTCTTGAACACAGTTCTTACTGAGACTGAGAGTTCCCTGTGTGGATGGACACAGAAAAAAGTCATACAGAGTTTGCTCTTTTGAAGTTATTGCCCCTAAATTGTGGAACAGTTTGGCTCATTCTTTGAGCGAAATTGAAAATGATAAAAAGTTTTTTAAGAATCATTTAAAGACTTTTTTCTTTAAATACATTTTAGGAGATTAAAGCGCTGTAAGCATGCTAAAATAGCATGGACACAAGCGCTATAACAGTAGTCAATCGTCATCATCTAGCAACCTGATTTTGAATACAAATTTAAATGAAGTTAAGACACAAGTATCGTGTCTACAGGTTTTGCCAACTCATTAGGCGTAATAACTAATACATTAAGAGGTCTACTCATTATGATGAACCCCAAAATGAATGGCCATATAAAATGAACCTACCTAAAATTATCACGAAACTTAAACTTAATACACAGCACAACTGAACAAGTAGGAACTTTTCTGCCAAAAGCCTTCTTCAGTAAAAAAATAAAATAAATTAAAGTTTAAATAAAAGCGATGAGAAACTTAGCTCATAGAGAGAAGGAATAAACTGGGTCTGAGTCAGTAGGTTGTTTGTTGTGTGTTTATTTTTTTCATATTTATTTTTATATATTTTTATTTTAAAAAAAATATGAGATTATGATTATGGTACTTAATTTGTTGTTACCTAATAAATCACCACAATTTTAGGAAGCAAAATTCTGAATGATATTGACATATATTATCTCCTAGACCTTCCTGCACCTCATGCACTATCAAGTGGCTTAAATAATGAAACTGTTGAAGAAGAGCTTGAGGATGCAGTCAAACCAAAAGCAGCAGAAATTGCTAGTGCCCCTCATCCGCCAACTACAAAGAAAAAACAACCAGTGAGGATAACGATTCCTTCACTTCGAGAGGTACATAATTTAAAAATATTATATTTGATGATGAGAAGTTATGCTAGAATACAGACTCTCTGAAAAGTGGAGTTATTTCTATATTGTTTAGGGATATAAAAATTTGATTTTTTTTGTATATAAATCCTTACCCTGTATTTATATTTATTAGCAAAGAAATATTTAAAAAAAAATAGTGAAACCTGAATGCAACCAAATCTATATCTGTTATTTATTAGCACTCTCAACGCACAGTAAGTTGTTTCAATATCATGCTTGTTTCTTTGCTATTTCTTAGTTTAACTTTTAAAGAGCGTTTACACAGAAGAGTGGTAATTCATTGTTTATGAGCGAAACCAAGGTTTATTTGTTGTCATTTGTAGCATTATTTTATTAGTAACGGTATTATTCGCTGTTCTTTTTTTCTGTATCAATACTGTTGCTTTGGCTACCCTAAGCCCTATTAGGGGGAGTAAGTTTCCTAGACGATTAACAGCTCAAAAAGCTTTGGAAATATGTTATACTACTGCTATGGACCATAATGGATTGTGAAGATGATTTAGTTTTCGATCCATGGCATGATTCCGATAGTAGTAGTTTTAGATGATTTGAGTTATACCAGTGAAGATGATGTATGCCTACATAAAAAGGTTTGAAGAGAAAAAGGTTTTGCATATCATGTTTTCACATTTTAAGTTTCTTTCCTGTTACTTATTTTAGTTCAGCTGAAGAAATAAGTTTACAAACATATAGTCAGTTCGGTTATCTTTCATTTGATACCAAATTTAGACTTATAAACCAAACAATAATATTTAAAATATTTTTTAATAAACCGAACCTCTCACTCTTTTTTCATTAAAAAAATTCCACAGCGAAAGAGTTAGCTAAAATACATGTTTGTTGTTTTTTTTTGCTAAAAACATTTAACATTAAACTTCACTTTTTTAAAAAATTTATGAATTCTATAAACATAAGTTAGTTACCACTTTTTGTGCATAGTTAAGCAACACATTTCTTTAATGTCATTTCAGACACCATTGGAAGAGGAAACTGGCACAAGCAAAAATTTAGCACCTTCCATGGTAAGGAGCAATACAACCCTGATTTTTTAAAATTACATACTTCCATTTTCCAACACCCTTCCCAGCTATTTATTTAAAGAGCTTATGAAATGTTAAATAAAATATAAACATTACAAAAAATATTTTTACCCCAAATACTTAAAAAAAAAAAAATAATTAATGATTCATTTTAACGTTCAAATAGTACAAATTTAAAAGAATAACAAAACCTTTTCCCCTTGTTATCATGTATTCTTTTTTTTTAAAAATCAACAGCAAAAGTCTGGTTTGTTCTCCTTGCTGCCAGCACCAATGCATTCTGCCAAGAAAGAAATCAACAGACCACTCATCCCTTACAGTCTCAACAAAAAGCCTGTGGTAGCTAAGAGTGATGACACAAAGCCTTCAGTAGCCAGCATCTCTGCTCCAAGCTCAGTCGGTACATCACATTCAGCAGATATTTCATCAAAGCGAATGACACCTTTTAATGCACTGACAGGATTTGATAGTGACAGTGACGAGGATGATGATTTCAAAGGCAGTTCTACAAACTTTTTCTCCTTGCATTCATCTTCTGAGGCCTCGGACAACACTAAAACCGTCTCGACACAGGAGAGGCTTCAAAGTGAAGAAGTGTCCAGCTCAGAGTCAGACTTGAATCCACAAGCAAAGGACAATGTCAGTGAGAGTGCCGTTGGAGCTGAAGAAGCTGTTGACGAAGGTCAACCCACTCCAGAGCAGCCGGTCCAGGGACCTGAGCCAGGGGCAGTTAACGATGCACCACTTAATTTTCGGAGTGTGAATCGACTAAATTCATGGTCTGGTTCATCTTATGGTTTTCTTGGCCCTGTCGGACTTTCGGGCCCCATAGCCACACCATCATCATTTAGCAGTTATGAGACTGTGCCTTCTAATTCGCAATATAACTTGGCTAATGCTGAGGTAGGAACCTTGATTTGCGAAATTCATGTTATTTTACGTTGGAAAATTCAAAAACATTAATTTTCTCTTTAACCTTTCTTTGTGATAACATACTGTGGGAGTGTTTGCATACCTAAATGATTGTAAGAAGAAGTTGTTTTTTTAAATATTTTAAAGGGTCCTGATGAAATGGGTGATGCAGATCAAGAGATGGTTACTGATGATGACCTCAAGAAATTTATGAGTGATAAAGAAGTAGGTGAATTTTTATGATGATTTGAATGTTTACTACTGCTTAGCATCAAAATATATTGTATTTATACATTTGTTTTTTAAAGTTATAATACCGAGTATCTTTGATTTTCTAGGTTAGATATTAGCCTATTTTATGCATATCAATTATGAGAGATGAAACCCATGTAATAAAATAACAGGAAAAAGGTTCTAAAAAATGTAAATCTCGAACATTTAAAAATAATAATTTACTCACTTGGAATGCATTTCATATATGAGTATATCTATATATTAATAAGGGGTTTCCTACTTGAATTAAGCTAAACCTAATTGAAGTAAGCTTAGGGCCTCATTTTATTTTTCTAGCCAGAGAACCAGTAGCACACATGGAAATTAGGCCTCTACTGTGTCAGCAACTGGTGTTGGTTTCAGTTTGCGTAAAGCCAAAAATTGTTGCTGCTAGTTTTGACTGTACCATATTTTAATGAAGACTAGGTTAAATGATTTGATTAATGAAGAATAGGGTGAGGGATTGGATTAATGAAGACTAGGCTAAAGGATTTGATGAATGAAGAATAGGGTAAGGGATTGGATTAATGAAGACTAGACTAAAGGATTTGATGAATGAAGAATAGGGTAAGGGATTGGATTAATGAAGACTAGACTAAAGGATTTGATGAATGAAGAATAGGGTAAGGGATTTGGAAATTTACAATTTTACAGTTTTTTTAAAGGGGCACTTAAAAAATGTTAACATCTTTCAGTTCCAGAAATTACAAGGGAAACGCAAAAGAGGTCTAGAGGAAGCCATCAACTTTGTTGATGCCAATGTCGATGACTATGTTGATCCTTCTGAGGTATCCAAGCACCTAACAGAGGAGACAGAATATGTCTCACATAAGAGCAAGGATAATCTGCCAACAGCACAGCAGAGACGCAAGAAACAGATTACCTATTTGGCATATCAGGTAATTAGCTGTCTGCTTTCTTTGGGTAAAAATAAATACTTTTATAAAAATTAAGAAGACAAGCTGCTTCAGTTTGGTCAAATCCAATAGTTTTGTGATCAATCGCCCTTTTAAAAGTAAACTATGAGTAGAGATAGCTTCTTGAAATAGTTGGACTTTAATTTGCTACCAGTGCAAAGATAAAGAAACTCTTTTCTGTCATGAATAAACTAATATGGAAATGTGTGTCTAGAAGAAAATTAGAATAATAATCTTGATTCTAAATGAAATAAAAGAGAAACATTAATAAGAAAATCATGATACTTTATTCTTGCATCAAACTTAACTTAAAAATTGATTTCCTCAATCATATTTAATAGACATTTTAACAAGTTTAAGAATTGTCATGCTTTGAATTAAAAAAATTCTAAATGTTATCTTTTGTATTCAACATCCCCGTATTTTCCAAAGTGTTTCTATAAATTCCTTTAATATAAATCTGTCTCCGCCAGTCCCAGGATTTATAATATTTTGATTTAAATATAAGGATTTTGTAAATAAAACAAAAAATGATCTTTAGTAATCATTTTTAAAAACTTTTAACAGGCCAAAGAACGGGAACTTGAACTCAAGAATGCCTGGGCCCAGAACAGACTGACAAAGAAACAGACACAGTCTAAATACGGATTTTGAGAAATCTCCCAGTTATTTATCATATTTTGTATTTCCGAACACCTTTCGAACCAACTCCAAAGTTATTTTGACTATCTTTCATATGCAAGACTGAGTGCATAATTTTCTGTTTGTTTTTTTATCACTAGTCATTTCTCGGAGTTGTGGCAGAGGTATTGAAATGATGAAATTGAATCCCTGTCTTATTCTTTATTATTCATTCTAGGTTGTCTGGATGCTTACAAAGTTTTTTTTAATCACTAGAGGTATAAAGGGAAGGGTGGCCTACAATATCTAGGATGTTCATACAATTGCATCTTAGCCTTTTCATTACGTGACGTCACAATCACCCACTTTCAATTACCAAGGATGTCACATTGTCGCCATAACAAAAATGCAAAGAACTTTTCTGAAATACCAAGGACGTCACGTCATATTTCAATGCTAGATATTTCTTTTTTCGTTAATCTATAGAGAAGTTTATAAGCGAATCGGATAGAGGATGAAATAATAAAGGAAGTTTCATCTTTAAGTTTTGTAATTGCTGAGGCAACAAAAATCGATGAAAGGGTTAAGGCTAGTGTCAAGTTTGCTTGATCATTAGGGAGACATCATTGTCCTTCCTCCTTTTGAAAGATATTTATTTTTTTGAATGCTGGGTCTATCCAAAATGTTAATAAAGCAGATTTTGTTGTAGTAAATTTTAACTTTTAAAAATAGAAATTACGTTGACCTGTTAGTTAAACATTTATTCCTGGTCTAGTTATTGGTGAAAGTTTAACATACCTCTTTTCAAGCATATTTTTATCTAAATCTGATGTTATGTGATAGTTTCATACTAATGAGAGAGACTGTATGCAAAAAGCCCAAGTGACATTTATAAATGCCCACACGCTGATCTCAAGTAATCAAAAAATGTTTTAAAAACACCTGGTGCACACTTTTATAATGCCTTCACTCAAGAAAAATATATCGCTATATGAGGAGGAAAGAAAAAAATGAAAGACCTGATGAGTCTGCCACACTGCATATTGTGGTTTTGATAAAAGATTTGTTACAGTTTTCAATTTTTTTTGTTTTACTAGGGTGCTAGGTGTTTGCTTTCAAGATCTTTAAATATGCACCTGGCCGAAATCAGTTTAGTGCCAGATTGTGTTTACGTTTGTCTTGTAGCAGGGAATATGTTATTATTCCAGTTACTTATTTTGCTTGTCCTTGAATTTGACTTTTATTTCCCCACTGGCAACCCTACCCCAAAACTCATGTCTGGTTTCAAGATGCAATTGTATGCGTCATCTCCATAATTTTTTTTATGACGTGCAGCAGTCATAAGCTTCCAATACATGACAACATTTAGCCCTTTTTTTTTTATGATCCATCCATTACACCTGGGTTGAAGTTATCCCTGAATGTTTCTGTCTCCTTCACCCCCATGTAAATTTTTCTACATTTCATTGGCAATATGAACCAGGGTGTAAGGATGAGAAAGTCACACAGTTCATTGTTCAGGACTGTGAACATTTTCTCCACCTCTGTCTAGAATAGAATAATAATAATAATAACTGCCTCATCATATTCTGAATCAGGAAGCTAGTGTATGACGCTATGACCCAGATGTAGTCATTGCAGGCTGTGTCGACTAGTATGTTTTATTCCTTTGGTTTGTAAATGTATATTTAGAAATAATATATTTTAAAGAGAGGACAGTTTTCTTGTTCTGTTGTAAAAATAATCCTTTGAAATAAGTTGTGTTTACTCCTATGGGTATAGTGCAGCTTTATATAACAAGTTTTGACAGCTTAGAGAATTTATAACCCATGTTTATAATTTCTTGTAGTTTTTAAATTTATGCAAATAAATTTGAATTTAATTCACAAACTAAAATGTTGCTCTTTAAAATGCGAATGTAGTTAAAAAATAAGACAAGTTGGAAGGAGGGGGGTGGGGTGGGGGTGTGTTATAAAATTCAGCTGGAGGAAAATAAAACATTAAATTAAAGAGTGAATTATTGTATGATGTACTGAAAGTATGGAGAGTCCAAACAGAGATGTAGCAGAGGAACGTGCAGATTAGTTCAAGATGTAGTAGAGGAATGTGCAGATTAGTTCAAGATGTAATAGAGGAACGTGCAGATTAGTTCACGATTTAGCAGAGGAATGTGCAGATTAGTTCACGATGTAGCCGAGGAATTTGCTGATTAGTTGAATATGTAGCAGAGGAATGTGCAGATTAGTTCAAGATGTAGTAGAGGAACGTGCAGATTAGTTCATGATGTAGTAGAGACATGTGCAGATTAGTTCACGATTTAGCAGAGGAATGTGCAGATTAGTTCACGATGTAGCAGAGGAATTTGCTGATTAGTTGAATATGTAGCAGAGGAATGTGCAGATTAGTTCAAGATGTAGTAGAGGAATGTGCAGATTAGTTCAAGATGTAATAGAGGAATGTGCAGATTAGTTCATGATGTAGTAGAGACATGTGCAGATTAGTTCACGATTTAGCAGAGGAATGTGCAGATTAGTTCACGATGTAGCAGAGGAATTTGCTGATTAGTTGAATATGTAGCAGAGGAATGTGCAGATTAGTTCAAGATGTAGTAGAGGAATGTGCAGATTAGTTCAAGATGTAATAGAGGAATGTGCAGATTAGTTCATGATGTAGTAGAGACATGTGCAGATTAGTTCACGATTTAGCAGAGGAATGTGCAGATTAGTTCAAGATGTGGCAGAGGAATGTGCAGATTGGTTCAAGATGTGGCAGAGGAATGTGCAGATTGGTTCAAGATGTGGCAGATGAATGTGCAGATTAGTTCAAGATGTGGCAGAGGAATGTGCAGATTAGTTCAAGATGTGGCAGAGGAATGTGCAGATTAGTTCAAGATGTGGCAGAGGAATGTGCAGATTAGTTCAAGATGTGGCAGAGGAATGTGCAGATTAGTTCAAGATGTGGCAGAGGAATGTGCAGATTAGTTCAAGATGTGGCAGAGGAATGTGCAGATTAGTTCAAGATGTGGCAGAGGAATGTGCAGATTAGTTCAAGATGTGGCAGAGGAATGTGCAGATTAGTTCAAGATGTGGCAGAGGAATGTGCAGATTAGTTCAAGATGTGGCAGAGGAATGTGCAGATTGGTTCAAGATGGGGCAGAGGAATGTGCAGATTGGTTGAAGATGTGGCAGAGGAATGTGCAGATTAGTTCAAGATGTGGCAGAGGAATGTGCAGATTAGTTCAAGATGTGGCAGAGGAATGTGCAGATTAGTTCAAGATGTGGCAGAGGAATGTGCAGATTGGTTGAAGAGGGTTAAGCCATAACAGAAGTAATCTCATTTGTTTACTTCTTTATTAGCTGTTTACTTTTTTATCTCTGTAAATCTTCAAAAAAGTATTTTTGTTGTTATTCCATTCATAAGTAATAGATTTAGGGAAGGCATTCATTAATTTGAAATGCAAAATGAATCAAATAAATCAACTTAAGTTAAATTGGTGTATGTGTGGTGAAAGAGATTGATAGGTAATAAGAAATGAGAAGGTGGTTGTGAGATTCAATTTGTTTACCAACACAACATTGAGCCTAAATTAACTTTAACAAGTACTGTCGGGATGAGACAAAACTTAGTGATATATCATGAATACCTTAATGGTTGTCAAGCTCAGTCAAGTGTGACGATGATAATACAGTCACCTTACAAAATCTTTTCCTGCTCCACCTGTGTGATCAGTTTCATTGCAACAGCCTGCTCAATGGGTACAATGTGATAAGCCCCAAATTAGACTGTCAAGATTCATTAGAACTATTGTAAAAAAATACTGATTGCGAGACCATTTGGTTTGTTGTGTAAGTAATAAATATTCATTTCTGATTTTTAATGTTAGCAATGTATTTGAAAGACATCATTATGAGAACTTATATTACATAAAAAAAAAAGTTAAGTTGTAGCCATTTAATGTTGACAATGGTATGTACAGTGGAATATTTTTTATTATAGACAATAAAAAGTGTTTGAACTCGCGCACATTTAAACAATTGTCAATAAAAAATAATTTGTTTCAATAGAGATTTAATATATAATACATTTATTTAATGTACAGTAGAACACCATAGAAAATCTTATCAAATTGGTATTGGAAACTTGAAAGATGAAACTTTTCCTGATATAAATTTCTTAATATCTGCTATGTAATGACTCACTCTTTAACTCAAGGAATGTCTGATGCTCAAAACAAAATAATTAAAATTAATTTGTATAATATAAGCAATTAATCTTACACTGCAATAGATGGATTTTGGGGTGTGGGGGTGATAAAAATGGTGGCCAGTAATTTGTATATTCATAGCTGAATATTTTTTTAATAAAAAATATCATCACAACCGAATTTAACTTACGGTAATAAAAAAAATATTTTTTTTTTTTGCTTATGAGATGAAAATCAAATGTTTTTTTTTTTTTTCTTTTAACTAAAATTCCAATTTTTTTTAAAACAGCATTTCTTTTTTTTTAGCCAAACTTGATTTTTTTTTTTTAATATTTTTTTAATAAAAAATATTATGACAAACGAATTTAACTTACGGTAATAAAAAAAATATTTTTTTTTTTTGCTTATGAGATGAAAATCAAATGTTTTTTTTTTTTTACTGTGAACTAAAATTCCAATATGTTTAACACCAGCATTCCTTATTTCTAGACCAAACTTGATTTTTATCTTTCTGAGGAGTTAATTTAAAATAAATATATATACCACATATTGACTGTGTGACTGCTGATGTTTCAAACTAGTGAAAAATTTAATTGGTATAAAATATTAATTTATTTCATTAAAGCTTTGATTTCTTCAAAACTTTTTATGGTAACCAAAAGTTAACAAAATCACTGTTTCATCAAGACAACACAAGTGTTCATCAGCTCATTGTGCTATAGTGGGTAAGATACATTTATCAGTTGATTTTTTTACATGGTTGTCTAAAAAAACAACTTTAGTTACCAAAAGATTTATATGAGTATGGATTTGGAATGGTCTTTTTTTTTTTTAAAGCAGTGCTTCTCAAACAGGTGGTCTGCAAAATGTAACAAAAAAAAGAAAGGACATTAAAGGAGAAAAAATAAATAAGTTTGACATCCGTTTCTGCTGCAATGAGAATAAATTCATGCCGATCGGTCTGATAAGTTTGAGAAGCACTGTTGTCGAGGACCCTGAGATAAGTTTACCTTACATTCAAATAGTGAACACACAAATGCAAAAATAACAGCAAATTAATTTAACCACATATTTCTGTTATACTTTGTCATACATAATGGCCTAATATAGAACATTCAGAAGCAATCATAACAGCATGTAGACAACTCAGTAATCGTGAATGACGGTGCATATTTCTCAAAAGAAATGTAAGTTCAACGCTATAAGTTCAACACCATATCATACAAACATTTAGGACTGATTATTATTTTCACTAGACATCAAGTTCAGTTGAAATATTGCGCTTATTTAAATAACATTCACGTGTTGACCAGAACACAACCAGCTTCTTCTTTCTACACAAGTTCCAGGTCAGGCATTAGGCATTCTCTGTGTAATATCTCAAATCTGCAGGCGGTGTGTTGACATGTGATCGCCTTAACAGTGGTTTCCTCTCACACTTGTAGGCTGTGTCACTGTCGCCATCATCATCATCACTGGCAGAATGTCCCCTGTGTACATCAGCAATCTGGTTGTAGGGGTTAAAATCAGGCCGGACGCCACATGTGGAGCATGTGCTTGGTGGCGTATAGAAAAGCCCACAGGAGCACTGATGAGTGATGTGAGAATTGCCACTAGCTCTCGAATCTGACCTCACAGGGTTTTCCATCACTTTGACTAAAAAATAAAAAATATACATTAAATCAAAGTCAATTATTTTCATTTAGAAATTCTACAAAATTTAAAATAACCACCAAGACAAAAAAACAACAAAAAAAAAACAAAAATGATGGCTCAATTTAAAAATGAGGTCAAAATATAAAAAGCACTATTTAATGGAGGTGAAGCTTTTCTTCATCTCAAACAAAGCAATATAAGTTTTCGCTCAAGGATTAACAATCAGCATACAAATAATACAGTTAAAAAAAGCAATTAAAAATAATGTTCTGAGAAATATGTTATTTTTTTTACAGATTGATATCATAAAAAAAAATAATCTTTATCTCTGATCATTGAGTCTGCTCTCCTTTATTTTAACAATAATTGATGTAGAAATCAAGGGAAGAAGATCACAACAGATGGCAATAGTGAAAAGGCAGTCAACACAAGGATCAAGGAAATAAAATCAGGCCTTTGTAATATTCACATCCATGAGAATATCCAGCAACCGGAGCATCCACCCAAGACCAGAGTCTTATTTAAAAGTCATGTCTTGTGTATTTCCCTCTTCGGTTACTGTGGACCACTAGCACATCAGAGTGGACCCCTGAACTTTTTGCAAGCCTTAAAGGATCAATAGAATCATCTTGCCAAAGACCACCTCTAATAAAGAACTGAGAAACTGATAGGGAGAAACAGTGCATGCACATCAGTGGGGATTTCTTAAACATGTTGGTAGAGGGCTAGCTATCACTCACTTTCCATGAGCGGACTAAGATGGACAGATAAAATGAAAAGGTAAAAGAGCCACAGAAATCTCTTGTGGGACATTAAAGAAGGATGCGCTGAAACCTGACCCAGCAGACAGGTCCCACAGCAACAGCACTCAGACAGAAGTAGCTAAATATGCAATTACTTCAAAGCACCATTCAGTTTAATTTTGAACTACACAACTGTGATTTTCAAACATGCAAATAATGGACCTTTCAAATCTTAATATACCCCCATCACAGCTTAAGAAAATAAATCTCAAGACCTAATGCATTGC